AGCTATACATTTAAAATAGTCCTAGTGAATCAGTAAATTTGGTTTGACACAAATTGTGAATAAAATCTGTTGATTCTTTTTCCTGAAATGCAATAACTTGGATTATGTTTATTGCAATAAATACTATCAGTCAAAGAATAGTCTTGAAAGGAATCATTTCATTTGGGATGATGATATAAATGATATTTTATCCTTTCCTTCCTGACTCAGGCTTTGACTTAATTTAATGTGGTTGTAACTTCTTTGGATAAAGCTCTTGTGTGTTAAAATTCAAATGTAAGCTGTCAAGCAGCATCTTCATGCTATGTTGTTTGTTTTTGTTGATTCTGCAACTTGAGAGATCTCTACTCAATTTTGACTGAACACTCTTAGGAGTGAAGGGCTTAATTACAGTTAAATAATTGATTTTTTTATAAAATTAAATTCTTGTTGTAACTGAATTAATTGCAATGAAGTTATCCCAAACTGCAGACTACGCAGCTGCTTCTCTTTTTCTGCTGGGCTCGCAGCTAATGCCAAACGCGACTAAAATAATCCTGAAACCTTTAGCCTAATGATAGATTTATTTCATTGTAAAGCGTAAGCTTAAGAAACTGTGGCATGCAAGTGACCGATTCGTACCAAATATCGCAATTTGTACTTACCACAAACTTTCAGAATCCGTAGTTTTATATGGCTGCTCGACCCTTATACCCTTATACCGGCCAGTCGATAACTTTTGTCCCTTCTTTTAACTTCACGGCACCAAGGACTTGCTTTGCATTTACAACACTCGCGCTATTCTCGTTTTCCCATCGAACAACGGTAAAACCCATCTTTAGAGATGTCAACAGTCGAGAAAAGAAATAACTTAACCTACGATCGAGCGATCAACGGATGAAAAGTACATTCAAAGATGAGCGCCAAATAGATTTTCTTTGTTACGGGATGATCACGTGGACATCTTGGGATTGTCATTGGCTTGTAAAGAGAATCCGCTGGCTTACCTGACTGCAGTCTTGAGAGATCGTTTTACCTTGGATCGATTGGATCCATGTTCTGAAGATGAGCTAAGTAATGATGTGAACTCACTCTGCGTAGAAATACTCGAGAAGAATCGAACGTACTACAAATGTAAGATTTGTAGCCGAAAGCTGTCGAGGAAACAAAGACTCGAAACCCTGACTTGACTTGTGTTCACGGCAAAGGTGAAACAACAAAAGGCATGCAAATTTTCACAATTTTGAATGTGATTACAAACGTGTTTTACCCTCATTATTATGACAGATGGAGGCTAAACCACCTTAGAAAGTATAAGAGCCACCCAGATGATCACAGTGTACCAGTACCCAAATTTATAAAGTTGCACCGTAACAAGCGTTCGGCGACACGTTCCAACACAGCCATCTCGATTCCTCAGTCTTTTGCTTTCACTGACCTAGCAGCGGTGCCAACAGAGTCAAGTGCGTCTCATAACGAATAAACATTAATGTACAAGAGAAGGGAGCGATTATAGTTAAAATTCTTGCTTGTAAATGAATGTGGACATTCCGAAGCGTTGACCCATGCTTATGATTACGTTTATGTATGATGATTGTGGCACATCTCCGGACACGAGACATTTTGCATCACAAGAAAATCTTTTACGACTGGAATCCAAGAGGCCTTTGAGGTTAGAAAGAAAATTTGTGATATGAGTACATTGAATTTAAATTGACAATTTGCACTTAATGTAAGTGACTGCTGCTTTATGAAAAAAATGCATATTAATGTTAAGATTTACCAAAACTTAGTTTAAATAATAATTTCATGATGAACATGTACAGGTATATACATCTCTTAGTATATTCTGTTTAACATATCTTTTATTGAACCAGTTTTAAGCCTCTATTTAAATTACTCCTTGTCTTAAAACCTTCACATTCAAGGTATTGAGAATTTTCAGGGTCGTTTAATTTGCCTCAAATTTAATTCCCAGAAATTCCCAAGAATTCCACCCTTCTTAGCTTTAAGGTAGTTTGCACATAGCTGAGAGTTGTGGAAAATGTGGCCACACGTTTAGAATTTCAAAAAAATACTCAAGAGAACTTTTAATTTCTCTGGGTGACTTTTTCTGGCAATGTTACTATGTCCTTCTAGCATTTGCTGGTGAAAAAAATAAAAGAGAAATTGAGAGATATTTTAATGATCTCCTGACAAATTGTAGTCCTATTATAGTTATACATGATGATGGCCAACAGTATAGTGTGGAATGACTGAACAAAAACTTCTACTGTTAAAATTATTGAAATATTATATCATAAAGTTCATTATAGCATATTATGGACAATATTTACAGTGAAAATGCATAAATTCACTGTTGCTGAATATGTGACATATAAGAGTAATGTTACATAGGTACCTTTATAAATTGAGGTGCATGAAATTTGAATGTGCTGATTAATGTTAGATTTTGGTGTTCTGTACATTTTGCATGTGACTAAATAATATGAAGTTTATAATTATATTTAGGATTTCATAATGTCAGATATCTGATAGCTGGTGCGTACATTATTTATATATCACATATGCAACTGAATGTTTGCATATATGTTACATATGTGTTATAATATATTGATAGAATTACATATATGTGACATATATGTATGCATACAACTGCATATTTGCATTTATGTTACATATGTGTTAAATTACCTTGTTAGATATTACACATATGTAAAATATATGTACAGTTGCTCCAAAATCTATACATATATGTCACATATATGTACATTAATTTGACATATATATGTTACAAATACATAAATGTCACATATATATAACATATATGTAATTTTGGTAAGGGTAGTCAAACTCTGAATATCCTTTGCTATTTACCTCCAAGCAACTCAGGGAAAAAATGGGGTCCTGGTTTGCATCTTTGACAAGCGAAGAAATCACTCAAATCAATTTTTGGTGGTGTATATTATCTCACTGTTTTAGTATATACTAAAACAACTATTCACCTAGGTGTCGGTGGTTAGCTGTTCATATTTACCTTGCCGCTTCACGGCTCGGTACATATCCACCACTAACCACTTCCACTTTGGTGAATAGTTGTTAATTATTCATATTATTTTCATCATGTTAAGTGGGTAAACATCGGGTGAACACAGCTGTAACCAGATGAGCAAAAAGGCTATGGAAAACACTATGACCATAATATATACATGTATATAAAATTAACACTTTTTTATGGTATACATCAGCATAGATAATTTGGAGATTAATTTGATTTGGAGAGAGGCTGCAGGTGACCTTGTGGTAATAGAGACTAGTATCTTGTTAGCATGATAACAAGATAATTTACATTTGAAAAGCAGCAACGTTTGTATAATATCAAGGTCACCCCCAGCCTTACTCCTGTTCAAAGGCTTGACAACCAAGCATGCAACTGTAAAATGGACTATTGAAACTCGTAATAATTTTTCCAAAAGTCAGAGGTCTAAGAGTCCATGAACAAGTTCTGTATATGTTAGTCCAAAGAGTCTGTTCTAGAATAGCTTGATTTTTTTATTCCATTTAAATTTCCACAATGTTTGACTCTAAAAAATATTCTTACTAATTTTCTGAGTTACTATCATGTTTATTGTGACTCTCAGGTTATGACCAGGAGCATACTGACTTTTATGCAAGTCAGCAGCCATCTACAAGTGCATCTGGCAGACCACAGAGTAAGAATTATTTGCTTTATTATTTACAGAGTTACAGGGGGAGCCTAAACTCCTTTACAAAGCATTATGATTTTTTCCTATCCCTGAGAATTGGGCCCTCGTGAGATAACTTCAACACATAAAACAACTCATTTAAATACACACAAAATATCCTTATTCTTCAATTAGCTTACAAAAAATATCATTACAAAATATATATATATATACGTAAAAAACCTTATCCTTGAATCGGAGAGTGCTCTACAATCATGGAGCTTTGTAAACAATTATTTAGGAAAATAAAAATGAAAACTTCACACTAAGACTTCGCACTACAGATCTGTTTCGAAAGGGTTAAAAGTCCTTTATATAATTATATATATATATATATACTAATTGTGAATTGTAGCCAGCACTGTTAAAAAGGGCTCAATACACATTTGTGTAGAGCGGTATATAACATTAAGTGACTAGAAGGATACACACATGATTTTCTGCAACTCTGAGTTTCAAGTGTTAAGCACTCATCAGGCAGATTTAAATCTGCCTGATGAGTGCTTAAC